AGATTTTAATTTTCTACTATCTAAGAGTGACAAATCCTTTATTGGTCATTTAAGCCCATTATATGATTCTTAACATACCCGAATGATGCCGTATTAGTGGCCCTTGGCAGAGTAACATCCAATATCATCAAAGTATGACTGCCCTCATATAAGACACTATAATGACCTCAAATCAAATGACCAATTTCACTATCGAACGTTAGAGATTAACCACTGATACTCAGATAGTTATCCATGCGGAGTCTCCCAATAGGTCTCAATTTTTTGTCTGTAATAAAATATCTACATGTTCATTTAAGTGTCACCACATTCTAACTTGCGAGATCAGTTACTTATTTTACAAGTAAGAAATGCCACACTTGATAATCTATCAATAATAATGGATGATTTAAGATTCAATTATATGTAATTTGTATCTCACAATTACAACTCTTTGTGAATAGCAAATTACTAATATTTGAATCTACGAACTCTATTATTTAATTTAACTGAGTATTAATTAAATAATATATCTGTCATGAAATTGCATTAATTATATGTAAAAAAACGTTTATATCCAAGGTTGATTGAGCTTAGGGCATATCACTTACAAAAAGACTTTTGGGGAATTTGGTAAATTCATTTATGGAATCATAAGATTTAAAAAAAAATAAAAATAAAAAGAAAAGAAACTCAAATAAATTTTTAGCTTAATTTATTCTCCCATCTAATTCATATTATCACATGGCGTGCTTCAAATTCAAGATTTTGAAATATAAATGAAAATCATTATTTGGAGAATCGAAATATACAATTAGTTTGACATACTTCTTTAAAGTGGAAACCAAAAATTAGAATGTGAGTATAATACTCATGAAAGCGTGAACTTAAAAAAATATCATGATATCCCATTTGGTCATTTCATATATAGGCCTCATTTGGGAGTGATTTTTCATTTCAAAAAATTGATTTTTTGACCGTTATTTCACTATTTCAATCGTAAAATTTGACTTCTCTCAAAAATGGTCTCCACAATTTTTCTAACGATCATAAAATTAATTTTCAAAATCACTCCTGAACAAAGCTTTATGTTCGTAAAGTTCCTGACACGTGGTTCTCACGTGGCAACACAACACCGTGCGGAGTCTTCCATCTCTTGACACAACGTTCGTCGCCCTTACCTGATCTCTCTCCTTTTCTAAACACCACGTTCGTCCCCCTCCCCAACCCTACTCCAATCCCCCTTCAATCTTCTCCTCTAGTACTCTGCAAATGTCATCCTTATCGATCCCTCTCTGAAAAATTTATCTTGACCGGTAATTCTTCATTGTTTTGGTAAAATATTTTGCTGTAGATTTGCAGTTGTTAAAAGGAAAGAATAATGATGGGATATGAGAACCAGGGCTATGAAGAAGCCCATCTGTATGCATCGAAAGAAGAAATGGCTTCGCTAGTCCTCAACGAAGATCCATCACCACCGTCCAACGGCTCAAAGTCGTTTACTCACGACCCCTTTTCATCATCTCCGCAGTTCGTTGAAATTCCGACCGAAGATACTGATCCCCTACAGTCGCCTTCACCGAATCAAGTTCTTCCAAGTCACAGCTCCATTAATTCCATCCTCGAACCCCCGTCTTATGCTGACGCCATCTTTCAGTCATTTGACTCAGATTATGTTGATTCTGCTGAAGTCGTTAGCCAAGATCAGTCCCTGTCGGCGTTGCCATCGTTTTCGTCAGATTATATTAAAATCTGTGTTTCGGATCCACAGAAGGAGCAGGAGCAATCTGGGTCACTTGTGCCTGGAGGGAGTTATTATTTCACATATTTGATTACTACTTTCACGAATTTGCCCGAGTTCAGTGGGGCAGAGTTCAATGTTCGAAGAAGGTTTAGAGATGTTGTAACTTTGTCTGATAGGATATCAGAGAGTTATCGCGGGTATTTTATTCCAATTAGGCCTGACAAAAGTGTAGTCGAGAGCCAGGTGATGCAGCAGAATGAATTTGTCGAGCAAAGGCGAATAGCGTTGGAAAAATATTTGGGGAGGCTGGCAGTGCACCCGGTGTTAAAGCGGAGTGAGGAGCTGCGAGTGTTTTTGACAGTTTCAGGGAAAATGCCGCTGGCAAGGACAACCGATGTGGCATCGAGGATGTTGGATGGGGCGGTGAGGCTGCCCAAGCAGCTGTTTGGCGGAGAGAGTGTAGTTGGAGGAGCGGCGGAGGTTAGTGAGGTGGTGCAGCCTGCAAAGGGCGGGATGGATTTGTTGAGGATTTTCAGGGAGTTGAAGCAGTCAGTAGTGAATGATTGGGGCGCTACTAAACCCCCTGTCATTGAGGAGGATAAGGAGTTCTTGGAGAAGAAAGAGAAGTTGCAGGACCTTGAGCAGCAGATAAGCAATGTCTCTGAGCAGGTTACTTCTTATCCCTCTTATTATTATGTATTCGTGGATCAGACATTGTAAATTTTACCCATGTATTTGTCGATTTGTTGTCGCATATTTTGCATTGATTAGTCCTCGGGTTTAGAAAATTTAGTTAGTCAACATTCAAGATGGCACATTAAGCTCTTGATTGGGAATAGATTATAAGCAGTTTTAATTATAAATAAATAGAAATGAGTGGTGGATGAGTAGATAGTACTTGTGCGTAGGTGTGAATTTTCATGATATTAACCTAATAATTATTATGAAAATGTGCATCGAAATTGCATGCCATGATAGTAGAAGGTGTACCAATAACTAGAAATTCAAGCATTTTAATTAAGATTAGCTAAGCATTTATTATAGTCACGTAGATGCCTCCACAATCGAAGTTCCCCTGCCTCATTTTTCCCAATAAATGCTTCCTTTACAATCAAACTTAATTTAAATGCGCCCAAAAATTTGTGGATAAAAAGTAGGTTTGACTGATTATGTTTATAAATAAAATAGTTGTCAAACAAGGGCTAAGAAATGAGCTAATATTTCAAGGTTTGATTTATGTTTGACTTCTTCTTTTCTGTTTATTTTAGAGAGATACATGTATTTGATCTGCAAAATAATATTCATACGATAGTTTAAAGGTTGAACCCCAACCTTAAGGGCCCCCACCGACCCTGTCCTGGGTCATCGTGGAGGAGGTAAATCGCAGGATGTGCCTCTCAGGAGCCAGGGTGGAGAGCACATGGATAGGCCAAGGCTGTTAACCCATATGGTAACTCCCGCTTGCAACAAAGCCAATTCCACCTTACGGGGAATCGAACTCTGCACACTACCGCGCTGAGCCCTATCCGCCCTCCCCTTTGCCACTAGGAGATATGCCCTGGGGGCATATTCATACGATAGTTGACATGGCCTGAGCTTAGTTTGAGTTTGTTGAAGCACATAAGTTGGAACATTGTGGTTCTCCAGCTGGCAGACATACCATTTGCTTAATGTATAGACAGTTCTGTTATTAGCTCTGTGCTGAAATCTGCATTTTCTGAACTTCTTAATGTAACACTTTTTTTGAAACTTGACGATTAAGTACTTCTATAATTTCTATGATACTTTCAGGCTGAATCTCTCGTCAAAAATCATCATGACATGGGGGAGACAATGGGTCAATTGGGACTGGCTTTTGTGAAGTTAACCAAGTTTGAATCGGAGGAAGCTATTTATGACTCTCAAAGAGCACGTGCTGCAGACATGAAAAATGTGATATTAACCAACGTAAATAAATCTTGGACCACTCTTCTTAATAATGTTGACCTTATTAAAATGGACCCCAAATCTTAATACGTCCCCTGTTCCATCGGAATTGTTGTCTCATTGTCCTGCTGCATACTCGATAAAGGTGGAGCTGAGCCAGGGTGGGACCGCAAGTATCAAGTAAAACAAATTCTTTCATATAGTAAGTTTTAGTTGTTAAAGAATTGTTGTTTTGTATGTGTGTGTGTGTGTGATTCGTGCTTCTTCTTTAATGCTGCAGATTTCTGTAACTGAAATGACAGTTCTTTAATTGAATGCGTTTCGGAAAATGATTTTGCATTTCAAGTGTGAAAGGTTGTATGACTGTGACATCAATGTCGAGATAGTTGTTTGGACTTACTTTCGAACATAGATTTCATTCTAACCTATATCCATGAGAAGGTAATCGCTGTTATATAACTTTATCATCTAGAAGTCTTATTGTTGCCTCGACTTGGTGATGAACTACTACTACTTTTTTCCTCTTCTTTTACTTTTGACAAACTTTATAAGAGACTATGTTACATATTCGATTAACTTGTGGTCTAGGCTTTTATGTACATTTATTTTAATAATAAATTTTTGGAAATGGAAGTGCTTATTTAGAAATGGTGAATGCAGGCATTTTGGGTTAAGGGGCACAATCAAACTTGCAACAATATTATAAAAAAATAATTAAAGCATTCGATATCTAATTACAATTATTTTATACACATTCTCATACTTTGATAACGTTTTATAATTACATCCGTCCTCTACAACTTTCTATCTTACTTTAATATTGTTCTTCTCTTTAGACTTGTTTGTTTGCTTTCTCGACGTTCAATCTCACTTTCTCATTTTTTTCTTTACATGGTTTGTTTCAGTTGCCTTCACTACAGTCTCAAATTGATCTGATTTCACTTTCTACTTTTCCTCAAACAACTCGTCTTCTCTTACATTCCCAAATCAAACTGTTGCTTGTTCAAATTGATAGCAGCCAACTGCTGGCCAAGAATCTTATGATCCACCACATACATAAATGAATCCAACATATAATCCATGTAACATTATAGATGAATTTATGGACTCTAGATCTAATGCATTTTATGTGTATTATGAATTCTATTAATATAGTAGATTCACGATCCCTCTTAAAGAATCAATGATAAATGGACTACCAAAGTTCAACGCGTCTTCTTTAATATTCATAATAAGTATGGTAAAACTTCCAACATAGTCAACTTCTAAAGATATCAACAGATAAGTTTTCATATTTAAATATAATCAGTTTCAAAGATCAAAATTGTCAGCAAATAAATCCTAAACTGATCGCATATGGCTGATAAATCATATATTCCCAGATCTATATGCAATACTTGACCAAAAGGCTATTAAAAAATAAAAATAAAATCATATATTACAAATGATTACATACCTCATCAAAAACAATGCTTTTATGTATAGAGTGAATGACGAGAATTAATAAGATATCATGCCTCAAAGAAATAAAAAAAAAAAATTGGAAAAAAAAATACCAATTTTCAGAAAATTGGTGGATAGCATGACCCACGATGATCCACCTTAGTCCACCCGCGGCTAGAATGTTTTGATGTAGTAACATCTTAGAACTTCCGTTGCAATAAAAGTGCAAATATTAGTTGGAATGTCCCGATAAACTTTGGTAGATTCTTGTAACCGAAATTGTAGTTAATAGAAAAAATAAAAAAATAATATTATTTACAGTCATTCATTATCGTAATCATTCCACGTGACATACATATGACATTTAGGCACCATTTGATACATGAAAATTTTCCCTCGAAAATAGAAAATCAATTCCAACTTTAATTTTAAGGGTGTTTGATAGTCAAAATTTTTCCTAGAATTCATATTCCAACTTTCTTACCACATAAGCCAATTTCCAGTTTTTCCTTGAATTGGATTTTCAGCTACTGTAGCTTTTTTTTTTTAATTTTTTTTATAATGGAAACAAATTTTAATAATTATTGTAGAAAAAATTTCTCTTTAATTTATAAATTCTTAACGTCATGGCTCAAATGTGGCCTCACCACTAGTTCTGGCTACAGCATTCCGGATTTCACTTCTCTATGTTACTGAATTGCTGCCCGAAAAGGTCGTATTTCCTCAGGTGGAACCTCTGTCAGTCATGGAGACTACATGGACTGTATTCAACTCTCATAAGAACACCTTTGAAATAAAAAGCTCTTAAAATATCAAATTATTCAAAACAACATCCATGCGATTTTCAAAGGGAGTATGCATGAACTAGCTTGGCAACATAATGTTTGGGCTTAGGTGTGAAATAGATGGATCAATCTCCACAGAAGTTTTTGAATCCCCCTTTGTTAGTGGATTTCCTTCTTAAACAGCGCCCAATCATCAATTTGGATCTGCGGGATGTGTGAAGGCCTGCATCATGTCATGTTAGTTTCATTTAGTGGATCAAGGATATTTTTACGAGACAAGCATATCCCCTTCTTTAGCCTTATCAAGTCCATGTCAAGAATGTCAAGAAAGTGTCCGAGTTTGCCTAAGTTCATTATTGTGTTTCATGGCCAACTTTTCTTCATCCTCTGTATTGAGCCAAACGATCTCTAGTGTCTATGATATCATTAACGCGCAGTAGAACACTGATGTTCTCATGAGATCTCCTTGTAAACATAGTTTGAATCTGATATCCTATCTAAGGTAGTAAAGGCCCTAATTCTCCTTAGCATTATTGATCATCATTTGATTAGTGAGATACTATAAGGTATAATCGAAAATTTATAATGTTGCTGAAGGATACATATTACAAGACATTTTTTCTGGAAATTTGGAACTGAAGTTAGGGCTTTTATAGATGAGATAGACATTTCCTTAAACCTAGTCAGAGTGACCATTAATAACACACACTTTCTCTTAAAGACAGAAATTTTGAAATAGTCTTCGTAAGAAGATGGAAAATAGCTATAGGTTTTGTTTTTTATTTCATTTTTTTAAAAGGGCCTTGCTTTTGTCTAAATGCCTTAAGTATCTTTACTATAAATGACATTCTTCTCAAATTAGTCAAAGACTTGATAGAAGACATTTTTTTTTTTTGAACATCTAAAACTGAAGTAGGGCCCTTTTGGAGATAACATAAACATTTCCTTGGCCACAAATTGTTGTGAAACCATCAGTAAAAGCATTTGTTTTAAAGAGGAATTTTTTAAAATGGCCTTCATACAGTGTGCAAGGTGAAAAATAGCTATAGGTTTTGTTATTTATTTATTTTTTTGAAGGCCGTGTTTTCATATAAAATGTCTTAAATGTCTTTACCATAAATGACATACTTCTTTTCGAATTAGTCAAAGACTTAAAATTGACATGTCTTTACTGTAAATGACATTCTTCTTTTCGAATTAGTCAAAGACTCAAAATTGACATGAACTTAGTCAAATCAACCCCAATACAGTCACAATTGACCTCCATTTTTTCTGCCAGATTACTGAAGTACAAATACAGTGGTGGGGCTGTGGCAGGGTCGCAGTGGGTATATGTCAGTAAGTGGAGGTAATCTCGATTGAGGATAAATTAGGGAAAGGAGTAGATAGTTTGGACATTTTATGTGTAGACATAAAGAAATTCTAAAACACGAGCAATTCTCAATTTTGGTCGAACATGTTAGGGGAAGAGAGTTGGATAAATTTTTCTTGTCCTGAATTTATGGTGAAAGGATTGATTTTATTGGACTTACAACGTATGTAGCATTTGATCAAACAGTGTTGATAAAGGATTCATGTAGCCAACAAATTTATCGGAAATAGTGATTAGCCAGATGCCTTGGTGGATTGCGGGGCATGTACTATCACTAATTTCATGAAGATTAAATGACTAGAGTAGAAGATTATGTTACCTTGTACGAGAAGCAGAAATGTTGATTAATGCATTTTCATAATCATTCTTGCGCCATTAAATGCTATTGTAAAAGATTTGGGAGTATACTTCACTGAGAAATTGCTCATGTTTCATATGGTTTAGTACTTAATTTTTCCTGGTTATAGTTTAGAATTTGATGCTTTCACTTGTTATCAAAGTTCTTTATCCATTCGTGGGATGAAGTTTCAATGTTGGCAAAAGGTGGCAGCTGGAAAGGTATAAACTCTCAGAGTCAGATTGCATATTAGAATTAACTCCCAGAACTTGAAAGAGGAATAGAATAATTGGATGAGTCGTATTTATACCTTATCAAACTTTTGAGGGGGGAAAAGAAAAAACAGATGTAGTAAATACCAAAATTTTATTGTAGTTTGTGATGATGAGTTCTATCAAGTATTGAAGCACTGAGATGTTTTAATTTGAGTTATCATTTTCTCCATATTATGATTACCATCGCAAGCATAAATAATGGATCATATGCAGGAAAACAACAAGAATGAACTTGAGAGACTAGACAAAGAGAGGCACGATGATTTCCTAATCATGCTCAAAGGATTTGTTGTTAATCAGGTATCTATTTATCGTTATATTATTGGTGCTGTAAACGTTTTAGCATGATTTGATGTTATTATGGAATTTGAACAATGTATGGTTGGTCTTATGACTTGTCATTCGCTATGGCCTTTTTTTGGAGCAACTTGAGCATTATTTACAAGAAATGTAGTTTCCCTTTCGAAATGAAAACTGATATAATTGATGTTAGCAGGCAGGATATGCAGAGAAGATGGCAAACACTTGGGAAACAGTTGCAGAAGAAACTAGCGGTTATGCGAAATAGCTGAAGAGCTGGCTGTAAATATAGCCCTTTCTTTATTATCTCCTCTTCCCCGTCCAGCCTGTGTACCGATCAGCATTAAGACAGGCTCATTGGAAGTTAGTTACAGTGTGTTATTTAAACATTTGGTTAAGGTAGATGATAACTGTTGCATAGAACATGCATTTGTGTAATAGATTTCAGGCCGAATATCTGTGACCAACCCAATGGTCACATTGGGTTCATTTTGCATAATCCATAGTTATAAAACCAACAAAAACTTGGATTGCTTTGAATTACCATTGGGTTCATGTTGCATAATCCATAGTCATAAAACCAACAAAAACTTGGATTGCTTTGAATTACCATTGGGTTCATGTTGCATAATCCATAGTCATAAAACCAACAAAAACTTGGATTGCTTTGAATTACCATTGGGTTCATTTTGCATAATCCATAGTCATAAAACCAACAAAAACTTGGATTGCTTTGAATTATAAAGACTTGTGGGAAAAGAAAAGAGGAAAGCAACAGAAATTAATACGCTTAGTGCCAAAACACAGTTTTATTCTTCAACAGAGGGGGGATGGAATTAAGAAGGATTCCACAGCCACTCTTACACCCATTTGGCACAAAATTGTCCCTCCAATAACTCGAACAAACTTCTGATACGCAGGCAAAAATTTAGAAAAATTACAAGGATAAAAGAATCTTCATGGAACTACTAACCGAATTCATGATAATCTTTTAATCGCTTGTTGAAGGGACTGCTACTGCTCCAGCATCATAACCAGAACTGGTAACTGTTTCTGGTCTAATCTCTTCAAGTTGCTGGAGAACTTGATGTACTTCAGGTCGAACTGATGGCGAGGGATCAACACAATGCAAGGCCAGTTTCAATGTGTGCAACAACTCATTACCAATTACCGAGCTATCTTTCATCAACTCCAAATCAAAAACTTCATTAGTCCATTTCTCTTTCACAATGGAGGCAACCCATTGAGGTAAATCGATGCCATTCATTGCCTGTCCCGGAGATTTCCCAGTGAGAAGTTCCAATATGATGACCCCAAGGCTGTACACATCAGTCTTGGTGGTGGCTTTCTTAAGCTTTGAAAGCTCGGGCGCTCTGTAGCCTAATGCTCCTGCTGTTGCAATTACGTTTGCATTTGCAGCAGTTGTCATTAGGCGCGAATGGCCGTAATCTGCAATATTTGCATTGTTATTTTCATCAATCAGAACATTGTTTGATGTAAGATTTCCATGTATAATGTTCACGTTTGTGTGAAGGTAGAGCAACCCTCTTGCCACGCCTTTCGATATGTTCATCCTAGTCGGCCAATCAACTGTTATATCAGAGCCACGACCTGCAGTAAAAAAATAGCATTTTGTAAGCCGATCATAAGACCAAAAAAAGAAACTAGACTTGAATTCACTCACCGTGAAGAAAAGAAGTCAAGCTTCCTTTAGGCCTGTAGTCAAAAACTAAGAGCTTTTCTCCTTTTGGACCTAGATAGTAAGCTCTCAGGGCAAGAAGATTAGGATGTCTAATTTTCCCAAACGAATTGACCTCTGTTTCAAATTCCCTCTGACCTTTGGTTATCTTTTCTCTCAATCTCTTCACAGCAACTTGACTACCATCTTCCAATGTGGCCTTGTACACTGTTCCATAAGTGCTTTTGCCCATAATCTCTGCAGTGGCACACAAAAGATCATCTGCAGTAAAAATCATATTACCATCGAAATGCACAAGCTTCCCTCCTGTTTCTCCACTTGCTTCAACTTCACCAGCAGTTGGTGGAACACCCTTTTCACCCCGGGCCACGGCTGCCCTTCCTGCAGCCCGACCACCCTCAGCTTCTTTTGCCGCAGCTCTTTTCCTTATCAAGCAGCAGAGCAAAATGCAACAAAGTATGAGTAAAATTATTAGGAGAGCCCCAGCTGCAATTAGAATAATATCTTTAGTACTTAGTTTTCGGCCTTGCTTCTTCGGTGCTTCTAGTGATGGAGCTGGGGGGGCTTGGGAGGGTGAAACCGGACACGTGGTTGAAGAACTTCACCCACATAGTTCAAGATTTCCCACCAAGGCACTTGAATCAAATTTTCGAGAAAGCTTGGCTGGAACAGGACCAGAAAATTTGTTGTATGAGACATTAAAGTAATTAAGATTGAGTAAATCACCAAGAGAAGTTGGAATTTCCGCACTAAGATTGTTAAGTGATAAATCAAGATGCCTAGGTGAAGAAATATTCCCAATTGTAGCTGGAATCTGACCATTAAATTGGTTATTCCTCAAATTGAGAACTGATAAATTCTGTAGATTAGACAGATTATTAGGCAAGCTCCCATTAATGGCATTATATGAAAAATCAATTGTCCTAAGCCTAGAGAGATTACCAATATTACTTGGTAAACCTCCACTCAATTTGTTATGACTAAGTGAAATCTCTTGAAGCTCACTTAATTTTCCAAAAGAAGGAATACTTCCTGAAAGATTGTTGTTCTGAATAGCAAGGAATACAAGGGAGGGAGACTGTGTAAGACTAACAGGGATTGAACCAGACAAAGAATTGTAGCTAATATTAAGCCTAAGAAGCTTTGTAGAGTTAACAAGACTAGATGGGATTGCCCCAGACAAAGAATTATTACCAAGGTCAAGTGTTTGAAGAAGTGGGCATAAGCCAAGTGAAGAAGGAATTGAACCAGAAAACCTATGGTTGAACAATTGAACACCTCTTAAATTGGGTAAAAATCCCAAAGAAGTTGGAATTGAACCACCAATTACATTATCATGGAGGCTAAGTTTTCTTAAAGCTAGAAATTGCGCAATTTTTTCAGTGATTCTGCCACCTAAACCTCTCCATGGAAGCTGGATTACAATTACTTGGCCTTGTGAACATTTGATTCCAACCCAACCACCTGAACAAGCTCCATAGCCACTGTCATTCCAGCTTCTCAAGAAGCCCTTTGGATCAACCAATTCATGTTTAAAGGCTTGGAGGGCTCGATAATCAGCTTCTGTGACAATTATACCATCCCAAGCCTGGCTTGAAACTGGCTGAATCACACAAATAAACAGCTGAAAAACCAAGAAAATCTGAGCAAACAGAAACAGCTTTCTTGAACAAATCGAAGAACAAAAGGGCTTCCATTTTTCCTTCTTTTTATCACAAACATAATGCTGGTAAGTTATTTTTTGTTTTGAAAACTGAATTTCATCAAATGGGCATGTGTAAGAAACTTTCAAGATATAGACTATTGTGTAAGAAACTTTCAAGATATAGACTATTTGGGGTTCCAAAATTCTTCAACTTACTCCATCAAAGTCCACGCACTACATCAATGATTATACTTGAACTTGGGGGACTATTGTCTCGTGTTGTCACACCTGTCCTACCCACCTGGACCAATGGCCCACTCATCCTGATTCACGTGGCATTCCTGCCGAAGTGGCAAACATTGCCGAGGTGGGATATATCCGAAGTGCTTCAGGCCGAGGCCCCATGACCCGAGGCATGGAACCTGTTGGATGTAGCTGAGGTCCTCAAGTGGAAGTATTTGTCAAATGGGCGAAGCCCCGAAGTCGATGCACGAGCCTCTTAACCACAAGGAAACATCCTCCATGGTCACCTTTCCCAGGAGATCACCTGCACAGATCTTATGCGAATGATTGATGGAACGTTTGTCATATGTATAAAGGTCAAGTCTTGTCACTAACATGAAGGCTCTGCACAAGCAATAAATGCGCCGCAAGCTAGCAAGTCAAGTCCCATATCTAGGAAAGGATGTTTGAACTAAAGAGATGAGGCCACGTGCCACTTCATCCAAGAGCTCCCATTTCATATGCACTACTATAAATACTTCCATTGTGTAATGTCAAAGGCTAATACAAGAATCAATACTAAAGACTACATTTTACTCAACTCTCTCTCATTTGCTTGCAATACACAAATCGAATTTATACATTTTTACATATACATCTACGAGCACCGGTTGGTAATTATTGTACAATCGAATTACGAACAACCCGTCGGATTCCGAACGTCAACGTCCCGCGTCGTTGGGCTACTCCCACGCCCCTTTGAACCGCTCCTTTTAGACCGTCCACGTGTTTTAGCGTGCTGGACATTCGCCCACGCAAGCGCGGGTGGGACCGGCATCTGTTGGCGCACTTTTTGGGGTCAACAGATTGGCGCCGTCTGTGGGAAACCATACCATAACCACGAGCAATCTGGTGGTAAAAGCTTACTGAAATACATTTAGGCAACCCCCCTTGAAAAAAGGATTTGTTCTTGAAAAAGAACAGGAGAAACCCCTATCACTTAGAAAAATCTAAGTTTGATAAAAGAAAAATGAGTTCTAATGAAGATACTTCCCCGAGGAGGGTAAGAGAAAGTACGTATGTGCCTCCCCAGCCTGCTGCACCAGCAGCTTGGCCGAGGCTCCACCACCACCAAAGGAGAAGTGGGATGCGTGCGACGGCACGACTATCAAGAAAAATGGCTACCATGACAGCCAACATGAGGGATATAGCCAACCAAAACTTGGCCATGAGGGAGCTCATGGCCCAAATGCAAGGCCAGGGAGGCTTCCCCATTCCTCCATATGCCCCCCACGGGCACTATCAGCAAGAGGACGAGGTCCAAAGTCATAGGGTTGCCTCGCCAGGCAATGGCCGAGGTGAAAGCCCATTCGAGAGGGAAGTGGGAGTCGACATTTCCTCCAACTATGCATTTGGCCGACCCTCCGGGGTCCAAATGAGCCATGATAACTTTCCACCTCCATATGAGCAAGACCAAAGACATAGGAGGGCAGGAAGTGTTTTTGACAGAATTAGCCCTGCCGAACCAAGGCCCAGTCAACAGCAGACACAGCAGCCTCGGACGAGGCCACAGCCTCCACCTCCGATGCCCCAACAGCCGGAGAGAAGGCATGAAAATGCCCCCCGCACTGTCCCGCCTAGAAGTAGGCCGCAAATGAGGGAAGAAGAGGCTAGGAACTGGCCCGGACCCTCTAACCAACAACCGAGGTATGAGGCCGAAGACCACGATTCTGATGAGCAGCAGAGGTCCTGTGACTTGGACGATGATGATGAGAACCTGCCATTCTCAAGAGAACTAAGAAATGCCCAGGTCCCGAGTCACTATGTCATGCCAAAAATACCAAAGTATGATGGGAGAGGTGACCCAGAAAAGCACCTCAACGCTTACAAAACTCACATGAGCCTGAGGGGCGCCACCCCAGCCGTAAAGTGCAGAGCATTCCATTTAACCCTGAGTGGAGCGGCTGAAATCTGGTA